GCTTTATTCATTTACTTGCATCTCCATGACTGTAGGGCGATGGGGTTGTCTCTAGCCCGAGAGTCACTTGATCTACAGTTTTCCATGGTTCTCTCTCTCACCTCTGTGGCCGTTATTCGGCTTTATTCATTTACTTGACCCTATTAAGGAATTTGAATTTGTGACTACTGATAGACTTCTGGTTTTCTGTTACAAACAAAGGAATGTTAGGGTAAGCTTTCCCATCAGTCTGAAGGGAGAAACTATCTAAACTCTGTAACTCTTTACACCCTACCTTCTGTTATTTGGTCCCAACTGATTTCCAAACCTATTTCTTAACACTGCCTTCCTTAGCACATATGTATAAAAAACTCAGTATTTTTTATCATTATTATTGTACTTTAGATGAAGGTTTACAGAACAAACTAGCTTCTCATTAAACAGTACACACATTGTTTCACGACACTGGCTACCAGCCTACTACATGTCAACACTCTCCGTTCTCGAACTTGGGTTCCCGATTACCAGCTTTCCTGTCCCCTCCTGCTTTCTAGTCCTTGCCCTTGGGCTGGTGTGCCCCTTTAGTCTCATTTTGTTTTATGTCTAATCTTTGGCTGAAGGGTGAACCTCAGGAGTGACTTCATTACTGAACTAAAAGGGTGTCCAGAGGCCATACTTTCAGGGTTTCTCCAGTCTCTGTCAGGCAAGTAAGTCTAGTCTTTTTTTGTGAGTTAGAATTTTGTTCTACATTTTTCTCCAACTCTGTCCGGACCCTCTATTGTGATCCCTGTCAGAGTGGTAGGTAGTGGTAGCCAGGCACCATCTAGTTGTACTGGGCTCAGTGTGGTGGACGGTGTGGTAGTTGTGGTACATTAGTCCTTTGGACTAATCTTTCCCTTGTGTCTTTAGTTTTCTTCATTCTCCCTTGCTACCGAAGGGGTGAGACCAGTGAAGTATCTTAGATGGTCACTCACAAGCTTTTAAGACCCCACAGGCTACTCACCAAAGTAGAATGTAGAACATTTATTTTATAAACTATTTTATGCCAATTGAGCTAGATGTTCCCCGAGACCGCGGTCCCCACAGCCCTCAGCCCAGTAAGTTGGTCCCTCAGGGAGTTTGGATGTGTCTATGGAGCTTCCATAAGCTTGTCTTGGACAAGTTGTGCTGGCTTCCCCAGTATTTTGTACTCTCCTACCCTTCACCAAAGTTACCACTTATAGATTGTCTATTTAGTGAAAAACTCAGTAATTCTTACGATTATTACCCACATTCCCAAACAAGTTGTATGTGCTGGATTTGCTTACTTAGCATGTTAAGGAAGATCAATGTTGAAGCCGTTAGCTAAGAGAGGACGGAAGAAAGAAGGATTACCTTTAAACCCACTGTTTTTATATCTACCAAACAGTGATTGGATGTCATTTTATGTCTCTCTGAGTATAAGGATTGGTGAAAACAAAAAAAATCTTTGACAGAAAAATGATTTCTTACTATTCAGTGCAAGATACGAGATTTAAAAATGAATGCCCACCAGAAAATCAGAGGTCATGAAAGTTATCATCAACCATCTCATCACTATGGCCTGCCGTAGGTGCGGCCCCACCCCAAGTGATGGGCCTGGTGATGAGAAGTTATTTTTGTTGTCTTCACTCATAAATCTTCAGAGGGCAAGATATTGTTGAATCAACTCTTCAGCTATGTTGGGTCATACCCAAGTTTTAAATCATGTTCTGAATTTTTTCTCCTGCAAAGTCACCCCAATTTTCTTCCTTGTGCCTTTTTTAAAAATACTCTTTTTATTCACTTGCTTTCAAAGATAAAGAATAAATAATAACTATTATAAGAGTATTAAATAGGCATAAGAGATTATTAAAATAAATGAGACAATTATTACTTGTATGCTTTGCATGCCGTCTTTAAATTATCTCAAATATTTTAATATTTGTAATAGTTTTACATTGTATACTCACAAATAAAACCTCTCATCCCATACTGGATTCAAGTTTCCAAAAATTGTTTTAGTCCTTCTTTTGTTCTTTCCAACTTGAACTGTAACATATGGGTCACTTGATCCTGTTTTGTCTTTTGCCTGCAAGCCTTGAGCAGAAACCACTGGAACAAACCAAAACAAACAAAAAAATGATAACAGAATAAGTACTATATAAGATCTATAGAATTATGAAGAAAAAATTTTCTATCACTTTGTCCCTTGAGTTTGCAGCTGTATCCTCATTGCTTTCATTCTCGTGACAAACAGGATTTTAAAAAAGTTTTTAAAATAAAAGAATGAATACACTGAACATTAATATCTTCCTTAGACTAATATTTGTTTTCACCTTTAATATTTATACACATATTAATGTAAACATGTATAGAGAAATAAAGATGAACATATAGCATGCAAAAAGTCCGTGACTTAAAATGGATTGATTTATGAGTTTGCTGTTAGTATTGATCAACTAAACCCAGTAAAACAAGCATCTTCATTTTGCCTTGTAAATACAGTATGAGTCAGTCAGGAGGCTTGGTAAATGTTAACGGGAAATGTACGTACTTGTGGTTAACAACACAAGTGACTTTAGAAGTTCGAATCACTAAACGTCACTGAACTCAAATTGCTTGACTGACCGATCAGATGGATGAGGGATATTGAACTAGGAGTAAGTACAGCGGTATTTGTTTTCTCATTAAAAGAAAAAGTGAAGAGATTATTGTCTACTTTTATAATTTACCAGTGGCAGACAGCAACAAAGCTAATCTCTTATAAACTGCAGGGTATTGAATATATTTGAAAATAGAAACGTTCTCCCTCTGGAAGAGCTTTTGATTTGAACACGACACAGACTGAAATTATTCCAATTATCTAGTATATATTTTAGAATTTTGAAATACCAATAAGACTTCTGGCACCATAATGTCAAGGTTGAAAATATTTCTTTTCATTCTATCTATAATTATTATTAACAGTGATTTCTAAGACACATAAATATCTCATTGTGGAAATAAAATTTTAAAGAAGAGTCTTCTTTTTTTTACCTGTAATAGTTATTTTGGCTGACCACTTAGATGTCCCATCCAGCACACTCTGTTTTGCTGCCTTTGTGTACTGCACAAAATCTTCTTTAGAAATCTGAAACATTTCCTGAATTACTTCAAATACTTCTGGCCTGTTTTTCTCCCTGACCTTCATCCTTTCTTTCATGGCTGTGATAATGATCTGAGTCTTGTCTTCAGCACCATGCTTAGAACTCTTTTCTGCTGCTCCTGCAATGGAAAAATCGATGGTGACATGAACGTATATGCAGTTACTTTTTGATAGTCCAAGGGAGAGATATAAAGAAGAAGCACAGTGAGAATGAATGAATGATTTCGTTCCGGAGAGTCAAGGTGGCGTTTTTGGAAAAAGTTAGGATAATAAGTCACTACCCTGAGACTCAGAAGAATTAGCCCTCCCTTGTGTCATTAGGCAAGTGATTTGACCACCATGATCCCCAGTTTTCTTACCTCTTTTATTGGACTAAATCTGGGATTGTATAAATATTTGCTTTGAAATTTCAAAAAGAAAAAGTAAAAACAACAAAAGAATTCACACATCAAATGTGTTATATTTCACATTTACTCAATGGGTAACCAAAAAATTAAGAAATAGATTGAATATAAATGGCAAATTTCACTAGGAAATAAATATTTCAAATATCTGTGTTTATCCAAAGTACCTAATTATTTTTATTGATGGAATTTTTGATAATTAAATGGTTTAAATTTTTGTTATAAAATAAATGTGAGTGTTACATATTTTATATTGAAATATAGGCTAAGACTCTATGTGGATTAAAAGTGATTCTGCTGTTAAAAAAAGAGAAAAGGGAAACCATTGGGCTATACTATCTCTAAAATAGCTGATAGACCATAGACTTGAACTCTCAATCTATACTATATCCATAGTTTTGAATAGGCTGAATTCTTACCTTGCACTTCAATTCCATTTTGATTTCTAGGACTTTGTTTCCCGTGATTGGTTTAAGCTTTCTGGGCATTTGTGTTTGTAACACAAATCCTGCTGGCAGTAAAGGATTTCAGAAATTTTGTTCATGGGTCTCTCACCTTCTCTAAATACCAACCAAATATTCTCACTGCATTGTGTGGCCTTCTGGGTTGCCCAACATTACACAAGTAAGTGTTGTTGTGTGCCATTGAGTCAATTCCAACTCATAGAGATCCTACAGGACTGAGTAGAACTGCCCTGTAGAGTTTCCAAGGCTGTAATCTTTATGGAAGCAGATTGCCACATCTTTCTCTAATGGAGTGGCTGGTGGGTTCGAACCACTGACATTTCAGTTAGCAGCCAAGCAGTTAAACACTGTGCCACCAGGGCTCCTTTCAAAAAGTAAATAGTGAACAATAATTTCAGCTCTCTCAGTATCTCTCAGTGATTGAAATGTAAAACTTGGAAACAAAGAAGAAGGATCAGTAATTGGAAAACATAGTCTTGCTGATAGAAATGACACCAGAGATTGCATGATAGAATTTTGTAAGACCAATAGCTTACTCATTGGAAACACCTTTTTCAACAACATAAATGATGACTATACATTGTGGGATGGAATGCACAGGAATTATATGGACTACATTTGTGGAAAGAAACCATGGAGAAGCTCAATATCCTCAGTAAGAACAAGGCTGGGAGCCAGCTGCAGATCAGATTATCAATTGCTCATATGCAAATTTAAGCTGAAGCTGAAGAAAATTAAAATAAGCCCACAAGAGTGAAAGTACAACCTTGAATATATCCCACCTGAATTTAGAGACCATCTCAAGAATAGGGAGCCCTAGTGGCACAGTGGATAAGAACTATGGCTACTAACCAAAAGGTTAGCGATTCGAATCCACCAGTTGCTCCTTGGAAACCCTATGGGGCAGTTCTACTCTCTTCTGTGTGGTCGCTATGAGCTGGAATCAACTCAACAGCTACGGGTTTGGTTTATTGGCTTTGGTCCCAAGAGTAGATTTGATGCATTGAACACTAGTGACCAAAAACCAGATGAGCTGTGGGATGACATCAAGGGTATCATACACGAAGAAAGCAAAAAAAGGTCATAAAAAGATAGGAAAGAAAGAAAAGATCAAAATGGATGTCAGAAGAGGCCCTGAAACTTGCTCTTGAACATAGAGCAACTAAAGTGAATAGGTGAAATGATGAAGTAAAAGAGCTGAACAAAAGATTTCAAAGGGCAGCTTAGGAGGACAAAGTAAAGTATTATGCTGAAATGTGCAAAGACCTGAAGTTAGAAATCTAGAGAGAAGAACACCCTCAAGCTAAAAGAACTGAAGAAAAAAATCAAGCCTCGAGTTGCAATAGTGAAGAATTCTATGGGCAAAATACTGAATGCTGCAGGAAACATCAAAAGAAGATGGAAGGAATAGTGTGAGTCACTGTACCACAAAGAATTGGTCAACATTCCACCATTTTAGGAGGTAGCATACGATCAAGAACTAATGGAACTGAAGGAAGAACTCCAAGCTGCAGTGAAAGCATTGGTGAAAAACAAGGCTCCAGGAATTGATGGAAAACCAATTGAGATGCTTCAAAAAACAGATGCAATGCTGGAAATGTTCACCTGTCTATGCCAAGAAATTAGGAGACAGCTACCTGGCCAACCAAATGAATGCGGTCCATATTTCTGCCCATCCCAAAGAAAAGTGATCCAATGGAACAAGGAAATTATCAAACATTATCATTAATATCTATATGACCTAATGTCTAAGCGACTATTATTATTGTGGCTATTAGTGCCCCCAAAGGCTTTAGGAAAGAATGTTAAAGTCCCCTGGAATTAAACTTTTTTTTTCTCCTAATTTCTGGAAGAGCTCAGCTAACTACTACCTACACAACAAATGCTCACTGAAGCAATGGCTACCAACTTAAAAGCTAGAATGGGAAGCGATTCCTCATCCAAAGGAATCAATGTTGTCCTTAAAACTGACTCTTGGATAACTTGACAATTAGCTTGGAAATCTTTCACCTCTGATCTTGATGTTGGAGTAAAGAATCTGGTCGAGTAGATGCAGACAACAGACAGACCCAGTAACTGCAAAATTGCCCATCTGGGAAGAGCAGGTTAACCGAGAATTTTATTTAAGCCTTTTATCTGTTATTTCTAGAGAAGATATGTAGATTTATTATTTCTACTTTTACATTTGTGATATGAAGGAAAGAAAATGCTTCAGCTTAGATTTGTTTAGCTCAGAGACAGAGACAAATTTATAATTACATTTTTGTCACTGATCTACAAGTACTTTCCATTGCCCTATTATTTATCAAACTCATGTTTCTCATTTTATATTTCTAATCAAACAATTTCTTAAGTACTTGCAACTTGTCATGTATTTTAAGCCCTTTGGTTTTATCACTTTCCTTCAGCCTTAAGGTGTTCATGTCAAAGTCATAGAGATAACCTTAAATTTGCATTTATATGAGTCTCCCTTCAAAACATGAGGTAGAAAGTCTAGTAAAAAAAAAAACAAAACCAAACCTGCTACTGTTGACCGTCACTGAAATACAGTAATACGCAAAGCAGAGATCACCAATAAATGAAATCAAAAGAGATAATGTACAGTGAAAGCACTAAGTATAATACATTATCCAACTGGAATGGATGCATCGTTATTACTTTTAAAAATAACTGACAGATCAAACAATAAAATTATGCACAATAAAACTGCAAGAAAGTAAAACCCTAGACAGAGGCAAACTTATACCACATGGTTCCCTTCTACATCAATTAATGGGACAACCAATTAACCAGAACACTTCATTTTTCTTTAATTTTTATTTGTTACTCAAAACATGTAAATTGCAAGTGAAACAGTCGTTCACAATTTCACTACCCTTACACATCGACTATTTGCAATTTTAGTGTTTCTTCCAAATAATTATCTATATACATATAACAACCACAATATTCTCCCTTGTTCTCAGTGCCTTCTCGTTCCTATTTTTCTCAACAGCAATTCCAAAACATTTCTACTCTTGTCAAGTCACCTACCTCACCCCCATTTTCCTCTTTATCAGCATATGATCTGATCTCCTACTAAACAGAAAAGAGAGGCCTTCTAAACTCACTGGTCACTTTCTCTCCTCTCCTCCTCTAGGGAGAAAAACAAACAAAAGACATCTGATTTGTAGCATTAGCGAACTTCTGTGGTGTAAACTCTACCATGACTGATTTCAAGCATCTCCCTCACAAAATTCTTGAATATTTAACAATTAGCACTGACACAGGTAACTGTGTTCGAGTCTCACGCTAGCCTATAAGGCCGTATTAAATGTGTATTTCAAGTATTTAGCATATACTTAATAAATAGCTTATACTCAATAAACAGAGACAAGAAGATGTTTCTTGGAAGAGCCTAAGATAAAATGATTACTACAGTTGAGTACTTAATTTGGCTCTGAGTTTACCGTAATGTGCTATGAACTTCTAGCAAACTCTGACTCTTGGGCCACAATCCTGGGATAAGCAAGAATAAGTTCTATGTAAAATGACGAGCATGCTGTATATCTGGCCCTTGGCTTCTGATTTGGGATTCTCAGAGAAAAAAGTCTATGTGTCCTTCACTAGAAGGCAGAATTTGGTTGGCCTATATACATGCATTTAATAATCAGCATAAAACAAGAGCATACATCCAAACATAAATGGAAGAAATACATCAAGAAAATCTCTTAAACAAAGTAAAAGACCATAGTGGCTAACGATGCTTTGTGTGTAAAAAGAGGTAGTCTTGGATGTGAATCCTGATCTAATCCTGTAAACTTCGGATCATTAGTTAGTTTATCTCTCTAAGCCTTAGCTTCCTTTTCTGGAAAAAAAAAAAAAAATAGCAGTGCCTTCCTTAATAGGTTCACTGAGAGGATTAAATGAGACAATGTATATAGCTTTAATAATAATAATTGAACAAATGTATTCCAGAATGTCAAAAATGTGAAGATACAGGCATTTATTAAAGGATTCCACACTAACAGGGAATTTCAGAGGTTTGAACCTCTTAATTACTTCATCTAGAAAGCAACTCCTTGAAAAATCTTCCATGCTTTTCTTTGCCAGTAAAATTATGTAGGTGGGCCTACTTTTGGTGCCTCTCTGTTCTTCTTTCCCATGAAATCATGTGGGTGGGCATATAGTTGGTGTTTTCTATCCTTTCCTTTAGTTGCTCTACATCCAAGACAATCTCAACCCTCCTCTTTAAACATGCCTTTAATCTTT